GGACTCTAAACTATGGGAACTATGGTATATTCCTTATTATGGGTATTGCAGGATTTAGATCATCAGCCGTATGTTGGACCGGAATGGTTTATAGGTTTGGGGTTTAGGTTTTGAGTTCTGTTCAGGGCCTATTTACAGGGTTGAATGGCTGGAGTTTGTGGTTTAGTTCGGGGAGGTGGAGGCTAAGGGTTTAAAGGTTTTCGGGTTTGGGGTTTAGGGTTTAGGGTTTGAGGTTTGGAGCTTATGGCTTAGAGAGCCATATTGGATCTTATAGGGCTTGCGGCTAGCGGGTTGATTTGATGCGTAGGGTTTGAGGCATTTGGACAACCCTATCAGCAGGGGACCGAGTAGGGTTGCTGAAGGCCAGGGTAGAGGGCTTCTTGATTACAGGGGTTCTAGAGATACTGCTGAGGATATAAATCCTGCCTTTCCTCAAGGACCCTACTAAGCTATGGCAATTATGGCATTATCTTTATTATGGGTAATGCAGGATTTATATCATCAACCGTAGTTTTCATGATAGTTAGTCGCATATGGGTTGTCAGGGAATACCATGACTGATTATTCAATCCTCTTGATCATTCCTCAACCCCGCTTAGGGTACTTATGACACTAAGACCCATCTACTACATGCCCTAAACCCCAGATTTCTAAACCCAATACAAGCTGAATACCTACAAAACTCTGTAGAAGCCTAGAACAAATACACATAAGCCAAGCATAACACACAACCAGCTCACAACAACAAAACAACGATTGCTAGAAACACTCGATAAACAAACTCTCCGACACAAAGATCATGCAGTCACCACGGCCCCCAAAAAGCTTAATACCCGACAACTCTAAACCCTTAAACCACATAACCGGCAACTCTAAACCCTACAGCAGTCTGTACCCATAGGGCCCATAGTAGTTCCGTTGTTGGGACTACCTTGTAGGATTCTATAATTCTATATATGGACCCCAAAAAGGAGCTACTTTAGGGCCTATGGGTAAGCTTTAAAGCCAGCTTGCGTTAGGTCTTGGCCTGGTGGTCTGCTGGAGAGTCCGGCGGCCCAAGGACCGAGGGGCCTTTTGAATCCGCTAAACCCCTGAACCCTCAGCAAGGAATCCCTAGGCCCTAAACCCTGAACCCT